GACCTAAAATGAATTGGATTCACTTAAACCAAAAATCCTAAGTAAAGTCGATTTTACTAAGTAAAAGTACTTTCTAGTGGTGTTTTTGGCCGACTTTATTGACTAAAATAAATAACTAAAACAGCAACTAAAATGACAAATAAGCCCTCGACTATGACTAAGGCAACAAGCAAGACTAATCTTCACTTGACTCTTCAACTTGGAGCAAGGTATATATTGTTGAATCTTCATTCTCCAACTCTTCAATGACCTTCAAATCATCCCCAACTCTCTCTTGGATCGTGCATACAAGAGCCTGAAGGGATTCGTGCATTTTCTTGGCACGAGCTCTTGTGATCTAACCACTTGGTATAATTTGAACATGATCCTCAAGCGAGCCTTGAGCCACGGGGTTCTCTTTATTCCCCTCTTCTTGAAAGCGATTTGTCCACAAATCGACGGTGCGCTTAAAGGACAGCAATGTTCGAAATAGATGAATGACTACGAGTCATGTTGCATGTCGTTCGGTCAACCTCACAATGCTCTCGAATAAAGACATCCTCGAAGACAGGAAACATCTCGTATAAAGCTTATGGGAATTCCAAGTGGCACTCTAAAACTCTCTAATCAACCCTTGGAATGTCAAATTCGAACCAGCTTTAAGAGAAGGAATTATGCTTGAAAATTTGCAAACATCACTTGGTGAGAAGTCCTCAAAACCTGTAGCAACAGGTACTATAGTTTTCCCTAGATTCAATTGCTTTTCTTGAGGAAACATTGGAGATACCCGGACAACTTTACAATCTGCAAATAATGAACAAGTTTCATCATGTAAAAGACTAGAATTTGGAACAATAAGGAAGGCAATTTCATGAACTAATGGTGAATTTTGAAATTGGACAGCTTTTACTCCCTTCACCACTTCATTCTTGAAAGTTGATAGCACTTGAACAACCACAAATCCTTCAAAAAAAAAAAAACAAGCGAATCAGCTTTAAAAACCTTAGAAAATTTAGAAGGAAATAATGGAATATCACTAGATGAATGATAAGGAACTATAGAATAAGACTCAAGTGCAGTTATTGTGAGGACCCGAATTTTTTTTTTTACTTATTTTTTTAATTTCATTTTACTAGTTTATTTAATTATTTATTCATTCATTTTCTCCAAATAATTTATTTCATTCATTTTAAATCCAATTGCATGGAACAATGTCTCTTTTATATTTTTAACATGTTCCGTTAGTGAATTTAATTTTTCTGCGGCTCGTTTAGCGAGAAATAGTGAATGCACGTTTTTCGAGATAATTTTGATCCGAGAGTGCATTAATTTTGGAGAACTAAGGATGATTAATAGTAAACTAAGAAAAGTTAATGGAGCGATTAGATGTGAGTGAGTAAGTTAAACTCAATTAGGAGCACTAATTGCACACTAATCGGTTGTTGACTTTTGTGCACCAAGACACCTTTATGTCAATCCTTCTTACACCCCATCACATCAACAACTACCAACACAAACTCCTTCTTCTTCCTTTTCTCCTTGGCTGAACTTCCCCTTCCCAGTTCCCCTCAAAAATTTCAGCTCCTGTCTTCCATTTTTGCTCCACAAAGACACTCCAAATTTGCTTCTTGTCTTGGTTCTTCATACAAGCTTGGAAGAGGACATGATCAAGGAAGAAACTTGGTGATTTAAGAGCGCAAATCCTAGTATTTAGTCTTCTTATTGGCAGCAAGGCAACCATCCATAGAACCCTTAACTTTTCCTCTCTAATCTTAGTAGTAAACTAGTTTAGTTAGTTTAGTTGCTGGGTTGTTGATGGGTTAACAAGAAACTTGACATTAGGTAGTGGACTTGAGGTGGTTTGATAGGTAGAGGCCTTGAGGATTTTGTGTGTTTATTTTCTTGTTTGTTACTTGCTTTGATGAGATATGGTGTAGTTTGAGTTGGAAAAGTTGGAAAGAAAGCTAGAGAAATGAAAGTGCATGCTGTCCGATTTTTGTCCTGTTGAAACCTTCATTTTAACTTAGAATTTTTGATGTTATTTTGGTGCAATAATACTTGATACATGTTGGTGGTTATATGTATGAAATATCTTCCAAAAAACTTTTCAATTGGTTGTGTTAAAGTAGGGTTAAAGTGAGAATGAATTCTGAAAAATTTTCTGATCAGGAAACCCCAACCAGTGTTCACGTTTTAGGCCATAACTTTCTGTTTGGTAGTTGAAATCGAGTGCCGTTTGTAGCATCCAAAATTAGACTCCGAGAGTTTTTCGTCGGTACAAAATACGCCTCCTAACTCTTTTCCTATGAGTCGTAGTGAACCGGTAAAAATGACTGAAATTCCTCTTTGCTTGCATCCGAGAAACAGTCCTAACTGCAGTTTGTAGCTCAATTTTGCCTATCTTGCAAACTAAATTTTAAGACAGTTCCTTCTAGTGAATTGTAGCATTTTGAATCTAGTATTCAACACCATAAACCACAATAAATTTCAAGTTCTGTAGCTCTAGTTATGATCGAATTTTGAAACTCTGTCAAGCCTTCAAAACTGGAAATTTCGAAAACAGGTTTCAAAATTAAGTTTTCTTAAAATCATTGTATCTTGATGTAGAAGGTCAGAATTGGCTTCCATTTATTGCATTTGAAACTAGATTTAGAACTCTATTAGTGGTATAAATTTCAAGGCTGGTTCCATTCCTACGAATTTTGCCGAATTTCCAAACTTCACTGAATTTGCAAGCCTATTTTGCTCTGTCTTGTCTAGAACAGTGACTTTGAACTAAAATTTGAATGATTTTGAATTGAAGCCTAAGAAAAGTGTCTTCTAGAAAGTTTTAGTGCTTTGAGTCTAGTTTCCAACTGTATAAAGTTTTCAATTTTTGGACTTTCGAAACTCGAGATACTATTTTTTCAAGTAGTGTCGCACCAAACTAGAAATTTTCTAATTTTAAACAAAGTACTCTCTTAAGCACTCTTAACCTTCCTTTGAGATTATTGGTCCATTTTAGGACTAATATTATGGTTGGACAAGGTTCCTTTAGAACTTTAAACTTTCGTTTTGAATCTTGATTTCAAAGGATTAAACCTCTCTTAATACGTTTTATTGGTTGTTCAACTTCCTTGGTTGATGGCACCTCTTTTCATATTTGAAAAATAAACTTCAACCCCTAGTTTTATGCCTCGATTTCCATGAGTTTGAACTTTTAAAAGGGAGTTTTTTTACTTGAGTAAATCTTGAAGAAATTTCACTAGTTTCGATTCAAAACTTGGAGCCTTTAGCTTTAACATTTGCTATGTAAATGAGTGGAGTTTTGGATGAGTTTTGACTCCATTAGTTTGGAAAATGTGAACATTCTTTATATTCTAAAGTTTAGACATGAGATTAGAAGTTTTGAGAGATGAAAACCATCTACCCTTTTTCTCGATTTTTGTGCCAAAAATGAATATGGTACTTTCTTTTGGAATTGAGATTTACTTACCACGACCTGAATCAAAAATGACTTTTGAGTTCTCTTTGAGCATTATTTCAATGATTTAGCGAGAAAAGCTCCTTTAACTTAACTCAAACTTGTGATCTTAAACCTTCATTTGTGAATCTCGATCTTCAATGAAATAAACCTTTTTGATGCATTATCCTAGTTCTAAGCAAACGAACTTTCTTCTTTGTATTCTCAATGATCTAGGGTATCTGTGAGTAATGGTTGATTAATATTTCTTCAAGTGCTCAAGAGGGATTCGAAAGAAATTCCGATGAGAAACTTTAAAGGAATTTCTTGCTCACTTGCTTTTAAAATTGGTAAGTGTCAAGTGCATGTTAAATGCTTATGTGTTTGAAATGATATGTGTACAAGTGCTAGATATGATACGTGAACTTGCTGATGCGAGGGTGTACTTTATCGCCCTTGTTCTCTCTCTCTCTCCCGATTAAATGTTACTTGTTACATGAATATATATGACTTGCACTTATACATGAACATGTTTTAAGTCGTGAGTACTGAGCGGCTAGAAGTATTACGCTTTATTTGTGTAGGAGGTACCGCTCACCCCTACTCAGTACTATGATCGACTCAAAGTCGATTGGAGCGTTGTCTCGTCGATCAAATACACGTGTGGGGATGCCCCAACCCATTGGCTAACCTTGTAACTCGAGCCGGCAAGGGCTTGGTCGAGGAGCTTGGTGAACCTTGGAAAATATTATAGTTTGATCTTTTGAGATCTCGCTAAGCATACTCGAATAGTATTGCCACTTTATACATGTTTGGTTTCGGATCCGAGTGGGTGCTGGTAGGTGGAGGAAGTAAGTGGAGCACTACAATCGTGTTGCTATTTGGGTTGACAGAGGGTCAATCCCAGATGGCTCAAATTGATCGAGATGTGGAAATAACTCTTGAAAGCTCCTGTATCCTTCTTGTGTGTTAAATTCCTACTTGTGCACTTAAATGAAATATCATGTTTAAAGTTGCTTTTAAGCATGTTATTTGATTGATTAGTGTTACTTGCTTGCCTGTTTATTTTCTTGGCCTCACTGAGCGTTCGCTCATCCCATTAGTTTACTTTCCTTAATAGGCTTTAGAGTTGGATTAGTGGTTCTAGACTAGCGACTTGGTGGATGCTAGTATATCTTTTGTATGAACTTTTAATGGCTCTTTAAGTGTAATTTTGTTATTGTTGATGGGTGGATTGTAATCGTAACTTTTATCTTTGAAGTTATGACTTGTATATTCGAAGTACTTTTATTTAAGTCGATGGCTGTTTTGGTGGCTCTATATTAAGCTTGAACGAGTGCATGAGTTTTGACGAGAGTTGGGCAGGCGTTCCGCTGATATCCTAGGGTTCGCACTAGGGAGAGGTGGGGGTGTCACAGTTGGTATCAGAGCGCTATGTTTGAAATACCCGGAATAGGGTTAAGAGTTCTTAGTCATAAACTTTTGGCCATAGAAACCCGTGGTAGACCTTAGGTTAAATTCTTAAATGGTATCAGTGAATGTAAGGGTCTAACCTTTAGTTGTGGGTTAATTGTAGGACATGGATAGCAGCAGTGATGATGATAGGGTTGAGGGACCTCTCCCCGTGATCCCGTATTGCATAGTTGGAGGCAGACCCCTTTTGCGATACTCACCTGCTAGGTGGGGTAGATCGTGTCCATGTCGAGCGAAATACTCTTACCCTAACCGCTTGGTGTTAGGAGTAGCCGAGGAGCGGAGGCATTTGACTCGTGACTTTCGGATAGCACTAGAGGAGAGAGAGGAGATGGAGGCCACTATAGAGGCTCAGGCTGCCCGGATCCAGGAGTTAGAGGCTAGAGTACTAGAGGAGCGTTAGAGGACTGACGTCTCCCATGCACAGTTTCAGGAGACCGAGGGGTGCCTTATCTGAGTTGTCCAGGAGACGGGGAATTACGTGGATGGTATTATGGCCGAGTGTGTGACTATGATTGAGCGTCTAGAGGAGGCTTTGCTTGGGAATATACCTGGGGAGGCTGCACCTGCGGTGGAGGTGGAGGTAGAGCCGATAGAGGAGGACCCTAAGGAGAATCCTTCTAAGGCTGTAGGGTCTTCTACTTTGGTTCACTAGTATTAGTGACTCCCCGACCTTTTGACTTTTGGTTTTTGATCAGGACTTAGAAGGGGTGAACCTAGCTATGAGGTTAGGTTCATAGCCCAAAATTACCCCAATATTTAATTGTTTTATCAAAACTCCAAATAAAAACTATAAATCTAGCAAAAATTATTAAACCCTCAAAAAATTCATCCTAAAATTCACTAAAAATCTATCCAAAAATCGCATTAAATCAAATCAAAGAAAAATAACATGTTAAAGGGACAAAATCGATTACATTTTCCAATTTTTAGGGCCATAGAAGCATTAGTTGAAAAATCAGGGGTTAAAGTGTAATTTTTGGAAATTTAGCATGCATCTCCTGTGCAGAAGGCTTGCGGTGTTTTTTTCCATTGCAACTTTCAGGGTTTCTGATGGAATCTCTTCTCATTCGAACGCATCTAATGACTCAACCAACAAAGGCTTGGACTGAAGCAACAAAATTACCAATCATTTTTCCACTTTTTTACCACAAAATCCTTACATTTAAGCACCCAAAAAAAATTAGATGAAAAGATCATGTAAACATCGACGAACAGTTTTTTTTTCAGCAACAACGGTTCCAGGGGCAGAGGGAAGGGGGGCAACCGCCCCCCTCCAATTGTTAAAAAAAATTTCTAAGTAAAAAAATTTTTATTATTATGTTTTGCCCCCCCCCCAAAAATTGATCAAAAAATTCACTTTGCCCCACCAAGGGCCCAAACGATAATGTTTGAAAGTTATTTGGACTTGGTCCAAATAATAGAGAATTGCCACTTTTCTTAACGGATTTCATACAAGTGCAAAGAAAAGATAGCCAGTTAACCTGGCAATTGACTCTGCTACAGTTCTTCTTCCTAGAAAGTAGAAACGTCAAAATCTTCTCACCTTGTTCCGCAGAGGTGTATCATATCTGCTCAAACGAGACATCATTAATTACTGGAATTGATTCTTGTGAGCTCACAAAGTCATGGCTTCTCATAATCTCATTGAGTAGAGACCATTAAAGGCTTGAAGAACTTTCTCCTGTGAAGACCTCCCCTCGCACATGGCTAAGGATTGTACCATTGCATTTTGCATTGACTAGGTAATTTTTCTTTTAGCATTTGCTGAACGTGTCTTTTTTTTTCAGGAAGTAAAGGGGTTGTTTCATATTATTGTATCATCAGAGCAGGTTAATGGATTAGACATTGGTTGCTCAAATTGACCTGTAAGTTGCAAAGCCAGATAAATTAACACTGATCATCAATACCATTTCAGACAATTGCAGCTATTACCATTTACCAGGTTAGTTTGACATTGTATTTATTTAGTGAAATGTGGGTGTAAAAAGTTCGTCCACCAGTTGTTTGATGAATTGTTTGAAGGGAACTTGTATTGCCTTTTGTACTTGGCCTTCTGAATTCGGGTGATAAGCATTTATTTTAGTTGATTCTGAGACTGGTTTCTATTTCCAATTTTCATACTAATTTTATTTTGAGGATCCAGTTGGCTTCCTTGGGTGATGGCCGGGCTTTTCATTCAGGCTGAATGGCCGAAATTTGTAAGGGAATTAGGGAAACCAGACTTTTGCATTGGTCAAATTCCCATTAATCTGCATTGGTCTCTTTCCAACAATCTTGCATTGGTCTCTAAAGTTTTATTTAGCTGACTTCACAGATCAAGAGAAGTTACACTTAAGAACTCAATTAGAGTTTTTCCAAATTGAGTTTTCCTGTAATTCTCAGCTTCAAAATTTGTCATCACTTCAGGAGTTGTGCCAAGTGTTAGCAAAGACAAGAAAGTCAATGTGCTATACTCTTATTGATAGATTGATTCGTCTTATTTTGACTCTTCCTGTTTCAACAGCTACAACAGAGCGTGTATTTCTGCTATGAAAATCATCAAGACTTGTTTGCGTTCTAGGATGGAGGAAGACATTCTTGCCAACTCTATGATAATGTATATTGAGAAAGAAATTGCTAGAACTTTTGATAAAAATTCAATCATTGATGACTTTGATAAAATTAAAAGCCATCGTGCACAATTTTATATGTCCCACATAGGGACGGAGGGAAGGGGGGCCAGGGGGCAACCGCCCCCCACCAATTGTTAAAAAAAATTTCTAAGTAAAAAAATTTTTATTATTATGTTTTACCCTCCCAAAAATTGATCAAAAAAATCACTTTGCCCCGCCAAGGGCCCAAACAATAATGTTTCAAAGTTATTTGGAATTGGTCCAAATAATAGAGAATTGCCACTTTTCTTAACGGACTTCATACAAGTGCAAAGAAAAGATAGCCAGTTAACCTGGCAATTGACTCTGCTACAGTTCTTCTTCCTAGAAAGTAGAAACGTCAAAATCTTCTCACCTTGTTCCGCCGAGATGTATCAAATCTGCTCAAACGATATATCATTAATTACTGGAATTGATCCTTGTGAGCTCACAAAGTCATAGCTTCTCATAATCTCATCGAGTAGAGACCATTAAAGGCTTGAAGAACTTTCTCCTGTGAAGACCTTCTGCCGCACATGGCTAAGCATTGTACCGTTGCATTTTGCATTGTCTAGGTAATTTTTCTTTTAGCATTTGTTGAGCGTGTCTTTTTTTTCAGGAAGTAAAGGGGTTGTTTCATATTATTGTATCATCAGAGCAGGTTAATGAATTAGACATTGGTTGCTTAAATTGACCTGTAAGTTGCAATGCCAGATAAACTAACACTGATCATCAATACCATTTCAGACTATTGCAGCTATTACCATTTACCAGGTTAGTTTGACATTGCATTTATTTAGTGAAATATGGGTGTAAAAAGTTCGCCCGCCAGTTGTTTGATGAATTGCTCGAGGGGGACTTGTATTGTTTTTCGTACTTGGCCTTCTGAATTCGGGAGATAAGCATTTATTTTAGTTGATTCTGAGACTGGTTTTCTTTTCCAATTTTCATACTAATTTTATTTTGAGAATCCCGTTGGCTCCCTTGGGTGATGGCCGGGCATTTCATTCAGGCTGAATGGCCCAAATTTGTAAGAGAATTAGGGAAACCAGTCTTTTGCATTGGTCAAATTCCCATTAACCTGCATTGGTCTCTTTCCCAACAACCTTGTATTGGTCTCTAAAGTTTTATTCAGCTGATTTCACAGATCAAGAGAAGTTACACTTACGAACTCAATTAGAGCTTTTCCATGTTGAATTTTCCTGTAATTCTCAACTTCAAAATTTGTCATCACTTCAGGAGTTGAGCCAAGTGTTAGAAAAGACAAGAAAGTCAATGTGCTATACTCTTATTGATAGATTGATTCGTCTTATTTTCACTCTTCCTGTTTCAACAGTTACAACAGAGCGTGTATTTTCTGCTATGAAAATCATCAAGATTTGTTTGCGTTCTAGGATGGAGGAAGACTTTCTTACCAACTCTATGATAATGTATATTGAGAAAGAAATTGCGAGAACTTTTGATATAAATTCAATCATTGAAGACTTTGATAAAATTAAAAGTCATCGTGCACAATTTTATATGTCCCACACAGGGGTGGAGAGAAGGGGGGCAACCACCACCCTCCAATTGTGAAAAAAAAATTCTAAGTAAAAATTTTTTTATTATTATGTTTTGCCCCCCCTAAAATTGATCAAAAAATTCACTTTGCCCCCCAAGGGCTTAAACAATAATGTTTGAAAGTTATTTGGATTTGGTTCGAATAACAGAGAATTGCCACTTTTCTTAACGAACTTCATACAAGTGCAAAGAAAAGATAGCCAGTTAACCTGGCAATTGACTCTGCTACAGTTCTTCTTCCTAGAAAGTAGAAACGTCAAAATCTTCTCACCTTGTTCCGCAGAGATGTATCAAATCTGCTCAAACGATATATCATTAATTACTAGAATTGATCCTTATGAGTTCACAAAGTCATGGCTTCTCATAATCTCATCGAGTAGAGACCATTAAAGGCTTGAAGAACTTTCTCCTGTGAAAACCTTCCCCCGCACATGGCTAAGGATTGTACCATTGAATTTTGCATTGACTAGGTAATTTTTCTTTTAGCATATGCTGAACGTGTCTTTTTTTTTCAGGAAGTAATGGGGTTGTTTCATATTATTGTATCATCAGAGCAGGTTAATGAATTAGACATTGGTTGCTTAAATTGACCTGTAAGTTGCAATGCCAGATAAACTAACACTGATCATCAATACCATTTCAGACTATTGCAACTATTACCATTTACCAAATTAGTTTGACATTGCATTTATTCAGTGAAATATGGGTGTAAAAAGTTTTACCGCCAGTTGTTTGGTGAATTGCTCGAGGGGGACTTGTATTGTTTTTCGTACTTGGCCTTCTGAATTCGGGTGATAAGCATTTATTTCAGTTGATTCTGAGACTGGTTTCCTTTTCCAATTTTCATACTAATTTTATTTTGAGGATCCCGTTGGCTTCCTTGGGTGGTGGCCGGGCATTTCATTCAGGCTGAATGGCCCAAATTTGTAAGGGAATTAGGGAAACCAGTCTTTTGCATTGGTCAAATTCCCATTAACCTGCATTGGTCTCTTTCCCAACAACCTTGTATTGGTCTCTAAAGTTTTATTCAGCTGATTTCACAGATCAAGAGAAGTTACACTTACGAACTCAATTAGAGCTTTTCCATGTTGAATTTTACTGTAATTCTCAACTTCAAAATTTGTCATCACTTCAGGAGTTGAGCCAAGTGTTAGAAAAGACAAGAAAGTCAATGTGCTATACTCTTATTGATAGATTGATTCGTCTTATTTTCACTCTTCCTGTTTCAACAGTTACAACAGAGCGTGTATTTTCTGCTATGAAAATCATCAAGATTTGTTTGCGTTCTAGGATGGAGGAAGACTTTCTTACCAACTCTATGATAATGTATATTGAGAAAGAAATTGCGAGAACTTTTGATATAAATTCAATCATTGAAGACTTTGATAAAATTAAAAGTCATCGTGCACAATTTTATATGTCCCACACAGGGGTGGAGAGAAGGGGGGCAACCACCACCCTCCAATTGTGAAAAAAAAATTCTAAGTAAAAATTTTTTTATTATTATGTTTTGCCCCCCCTAAAATTGATCAAAAAATTCACTTTGCCCCCCAAGGGCTTAAACAATAATGTTTGAAAGTTATTTGGATTTGGTTCGAATAACAGAGAATTGCCACTTTTCTTAACGAACTTCATACAAGTGCAAAGAAAAGATAGCCAGTTAACCTGGCAATTGACTCTGCTACAGTTCTTCTTCCTAGAAAGTAGAAACGTCAAAATCTTCTCACCTTGTTCCGCAGAGATGTATCAAATCTGCTCAAACGATATATCATTAATTACTAGAATTGATCCTTATGAGTTCACAAAGTCATGGCTTCTCATAATCTCATCGAGTAGAGACCATTAAAGGCTTGAAGAACATTCTCCTGTGAAAACCTTCCCCCGCACATGGCTAAGGATTGTACCATTGAATTTTGCATTGACTAGGTAATTTTTCTTTTAGCATATGCTGAACGTGTCTTTTTTTTTCAGGAAGTAATGGGGTTGTTTCATATTATTGTATCATCAGAGCAGGTTAATGAATTAGACATTGGTTGCTTAAATTGACCTGTAAGTTGCAATGCCAGATAAACTAACACTGATCATCAATACCATTTCAGACTATTGCAACTATTACCATTTACCAAATTAGTTTGACATTGCATTTATTCAGTGAAATATGGGTGTAAAAAGTTTTACCGCCAGTTGTTTGGTGAATTGCTCGAGGGGGACTTGTATTGTTTTTCGTACTTGGCCTTCTGAATTCGGGTGATAAGCATTTATTTCAGTTGATTCTGAGACTGGTTTCCTTTTCCAATTTTCATACTAATTTTATTTTGAGGATCCCGTTGGCTTCCTTGGGTGGTGGCCGGGCATTTCATTCAGGCTGAATGGCCCAAATTTGTAAGGGAATTAGGGAAACCAGTCTTTTGCATTGGTCAAATTCCCATTAACCTGCATTGGTCTCTTTCCCAACAACCTTGTATTGGTCTCTAAAGTTTTATTCAGCTGACTTCACAGATCAAGAGAAGTTACACTTACGAACTCAATTAGATCTTTTCCATGTTGAATTTTCCTGTAATTCTCAACTTCAAAATTTGTCATCACTTCAGGAGTTGTGCCAAGTGTTAGAAAAGACAAGAAAGTCAATGTGCTATACTCTTATTGATAGATTGATTCGTCTTATTTTCACTCTTCCTGTTTCAACAGTTACAACAGAGCATGTATTTTCTGCTATGAAAATCATCAAGACTTGTTTGCGTTCTAGGATGGAGGAAGACTTTCTTGCCAACTCTATGATAATGTATATTGAGAAAGAAATTGCGAGAACTTTTGATATAAATTCAATCATTGAATACTTTGATAAAATTAAAAGTCATCGTGCACAATTTTATATGTCCCACACAGGGGTGGAGAGAAGGGGGCAAGGGGGGCAACCACCCCCCTCCAATTGTGAAAAAAAATTTCTAAGTAAAAAATTTTTTATTATTAAGTTTTGCCCCCCCTAAAATTGATCAAAAAATTCACTTTGCCCCCCAAGGGCCTAAACAATAATGTTTGAAAGTTATTTGGATTTGGTTCGAATAACAGAGAATTGCCACTTTTCTTAACGGACTTCATACAAGTGCAAAGAAAAGATAGCCAGTTAACCTGGCAATTGACTCTACTACAGTTCTTCTTCCTAGAAAGTAGAAACGTCAAAATCTTCTCACCTTGTTCCGCAGAGATGTATCAAATCTGCACAAACGATATATCAATAATTACTGGAATTGATCCTTGTGAGCTCACAAAGTCATGGCTTCTCATGATCTCATCGAATAGAGACCATTAAAGGCTTGACGAACTTTCTCCTGTGAAAACCTTCCTCCGCACATGGCTAAGGATTGTACCATTGGATTTTGTATTGTCTAGGTAATTTTTCTTTTAGCATTTGCTGAGCGTATCTTTTTTTTTCAGGAAGTAAAGGGGTTGTTTCATATTATTGTATCATCAGAGCAGGTTAATGAACTAGACGTTGGTTGCTTAAATTGACCTGTAAGTTGCAATGCCAGATAAACTAACACTGATCATCAATACCATTTCAGACAATTGCTGCTATTAGCATTTACCATGCTAGTTTGACATTGCATTTATTTAGTGAAATGTGGGTGTAAAAAGTTCGCCCGCCAGTTGTTTTATGAATTGCTCGAGGGGGACTTGTATTGTTTTTCGTACTTGGCCTTCTGAATTCGGGTGATAAGTATTTATTTCAGTTGATTCTGAGACTGGTTTCCTTTTCCAATTTTCATACTAATTTTATTTTGAGGATCCTGTTGGCTTCCTTGGGTGATGGCCAGGCTTTTCATTCAGGCTGAATGGCCGAAATTTGTAAGGGAATTAGGGAAACCAGTCTTTTGCATTGGTCAAATTCCCATTAACCTGCATTGGTCTCTTTCCCAACAACCTTGCATTGGTCTCTAAAGTTTTATTCAGCTGACTTCACAGATCAAGAGAAGTTACACTCAAGAACTCAATTAGAGCTTTTCCAGATTGAGTTTTCCTGTAATTCTCAGCTTCAAAATTTGTCATCACTTCAGGAGTTGTGCCAAGTGTTAGCAAAGACAAGAAAGTCGATGTGCTATACTCTTATTGATAGATTGATTCGTCTTATTTTGACCCTTCCTGTTTCAACAGCTACAACAGAGCGTGTATTTTCTGCTATGAAAATCATCAAGACTTGTTTGCGTTCTAGGATGGAGGAAGACTTTCTTGCCAACTCTATGATAATGTATATTGAGAAAGAAATTGCTAGAACTTTTGATATAAATTCAATCATTGGTGACTTTGATAAAATTAAAAGTCATCGTGCACAATTTTATATGTCCCACACAAGGGCGGAGGGAATAGGGGGCCAAGGGGGCAACCGCCCCTCTCCAATTGTTAAAAAAAAATTCTAGGTAAAAAAATTTTTATTTTTATGTTTTGCCCGCCCCTCCCCCCAAAATTGATCAAAAAATTCACTTTACCCCCCAAGGGCCCAAACAATAATGTTTGAAAGTTATTTGGACTTGATCCATGTAACTGAGAATTGCCACTTTTCTTAACGGACTTCATGCAAGTGCAAAGAAAAGATAGCCAGTTAACCTGGCAATTGACTCTGCTAAATTCTTCTTCCTAGAAAGTAGAAACGTCAAAATCTTCTCACCTTGTTCCGCAGAGATGTATCAAATCTGCTCAAACGATATATCATTAATTACTAGAATTGATCCTTATGAGTTCACAAAGTCATGGCTTCTCATAATCTCATCGAGTAGAGACCATTAAAGGCTTGAAGAACTTTCTCCTGTGAAGACCTTCCCCCGCACATGGCTAAGGATTGTACCATTGAATTTTGCATTGACTAGGTAATTTTTCTTTTAGCATATGCAGAACGTGTCTTTTTTTTTCAGGAAGTAAAGGGGTTGTTTCATATTATTGTATCATCAGAGCAGGTTAATGAATTAGACATTGGTTGCTTAAATTGACCTGTAAGTTGCAATGCCAGATAAACTAACACT